ATTTTACTCATTTTTTTATTTATTTCAACCATTTATTTATTTATTTAATTTTGGCTAAAACGGCTCTCCATATAAAATAGGTTTCCATTCTCCGCAGGTTTCTAAGGTTCTTCTTCTACATATTAAAAAAGTTGTTAAACATCTGAGTGGCGCACTACTGCCACTAGTGGTGAGAAAGTGTATTGCACCTTATTCAAAATCAATGCGGTCCCGCGGCCCTCTGTGGCCCAAAGTTAAAAACTGTTGTTCTTTTGGAGGCCCTCAAGGTGGCGCTCGCGGCCCATAGGTTAAGAATCTCTGTTATAAACGATTAAGGTACAAAGAAATCAGTTCAGATATAAAAGAGGTTGTTCACCTGTTCTGAGGACCATCTCCAACAAGATACTCAACAACTCTGTCCATGGCACTCCTTTCCCTTGGGAGCACAGGTCTAGCCAGGGGTGGGCCTGGTGGGTGCATGCCTGTTGAAAAACAAAAACATCAGATCTTGTAAGACCATATTCTACCTTCTATCCAAACCTAAATAAGCCTGCTGACTGCAACAGCTCTGTGAATTAGTTTAATGCACAAATCTTTATAACTTTTAACTACACCTGGATCTTTCTCTTAATGATGAAACATCTCACTTGCAAAGCATGTTGTGAATCCCCGCCGYGTTGGTGGGGAGTAATTAATATAATCCAACATCAAGAGCAATCATAGGAAGATGACTGGTCATTTCTGTGAGACTTGGCAGAGTCTCCGTGTCCTGCTGCTTATTAATTTACAAACATATGGAAACTCTGTTGCGACGATTTGTATCAAATTGCTTTTCACTTCCAATTTYCAGCGCACGCAGGTGATAACATAAAGTCATGTAAACCATTTGTGAGGTGCTCCCAATGCCAAAAGCAATTTCACCAAGAATTATAAGACATTTAGTGAGAGTCTACCACCAGAGAAGAAATGCAGATCTGGGTTAATTAATCATAGTTAATGTTATCCAGCATTGTGCGTACCTCAGTTTGCATTCCACTTGGCAGATTACAAATTCCAGCTTCCTTTACTCCACGAGCAGCTTTCGTTCACCGTTTTTACTTATTTGCATTTTTTTYCCCCCAACAGAGTAGTGATAGCATAGAAATAATCAATACTGAATAATAAAATCTACACTCCACGGATGTGTATCTCTGAAAACAAGAAACTCTGAGAAGTTTAACATTTTGCTGGCAAGCATCAAACAATTCTTAAGAGCTTTAATTCCTGATCATGATTTATAATAATGTCTTTGTTTAGGGAAATACTGGATCACTTAGTAAGATAATTTTAACTTCCTGCAATTATCTTTTACAACTACTGTATTACGTACCATAACCTTGCTAAAAACACAAACCACAGAGCTTTGAGCAACTGGGGACACATAGCCAGGGAAGAGTAAATCACACCTTAATCGACCACATTATGATCCGGTCCCCCTGTGTGCAGGTAACTCACCGACTCCTGGAACAGGTGTTCCCGGGGTCACGGGCTTCCTCATCAAGCTCTGCTGAGCAGCTACTGCTGACAGGCTCCTCTCTGGGGGTCCGCCGGGAGCAGAGTGGGAAGATCGTCCAGGATAGCTGGGCCCAGAGGCATGAGGAGGACGGGCAGCAGAACCGCTTCCAGGATTCACCATCACCACTGGGGTCTTTGGCATGACATGACGCTGGCGGAGCTCTAACACAGAAAAAGTGTGGAGCTTTTAACAACGGTAGGAAATGCCAGAGTGGAGAGTAGAACCATTTCTACCTTGTCCTGGTTTGGGAGATTTCTGTGGTCCAACTGGAGTGGATTCAGGTTCCTTTACATAAAACACACGGTCAAAGAACATGTCTTAATATGAGAGGCATACAACAAAAATTAAAACAAAGAGAAACTGTGCAGTATAAGCAGAATAACTTACAATATTTTTCTTTGAATCTGGATCAAATCTTTCCAGAATCATTTTGGCATTTTTGTACGTCTCAGTTTCCATTACTTCTTCAAGCTGGGAAAAGACATTAAAGGGTAGTATGGGGACGAATCCATAGCTCATTACATTTCACTCAGGAATTCATCCTGTTTCAGATACAAAAGATGATCTGATGATCGTCTAATGCAATRAGAAGCAGAGAACCCAGATAATATACCTTCACATTACCACTAATAACAAAAACAAACATTAGAAAGAAAGCWTCGTAACAGCTAGCTTCCTTTACCACTTATATTTAAAATCAAACACTGAATATTTCTACATGTTTACTWAGAATATGAAGAATAATTACATTCACTACTTCGATAATGGAGAGTGTGAAAATTCATCAGCCCTAATTATTGAAAGTTATTAGAACCTGACAGAGGATGACAAGCAATTTATCAGATTTATTTCTTTTCTGCACTAAATGCTATTAATTAAAGTGACATTAGCTGAGTGGTTTGTTGGGTTAAGTCATTGTGCCGTTCACAAGCTGCTGGCACAGATCCAAAAAAGTGCAATTACATATGGCTAAAACATGCTCCAAGTAAAAGCAATATGAAAAGGAAAATACTGTAAGTGATAAATAAAAACGGATTATGGCACACATTTTAAAAACTGTTTTTTAGAGCTTCATGTTGTCAATGTTATTGAAGAATATCAGAAAATAACTTACTATTTTTCTTTTTTGTGCTTTCAGATCTTCTAATGTTTCATCTAAAAAAGGTAAAAGAAAAAGCAATGCTTGTGTGCAGCTAAGCATTAATAAACAAAAAGGTTTATGCCTCAAGATAAAATAATATCTTACTATTTTTTTCAGTTCTTCGCGAAAATATATATACAAGCATCTTTCGCAGTAACCACACTCTAAAAGAAAAAAAAGGAAAAATGTTTTTCAGTTCTGTTAATTTTGGATTTGATTAAAAAATTGTAAGTGTCTTGAATACTTACAAAAGTGGAAAAATTACAAACGGAAGAGAAAGTATGAGCCGTCCCATCATCTGTTCAGGCAGGTACCAGAAATACACGACGACACAGGTAATCAAGTAGAGCAGAGACGAATAGAGAAGCAGCCGTCCCACCCATATCTTCAGCTGCCTTTGATACTTCACACTGTAGTCTTCAAGGGTCTGGATATTCTTTGGAGAAAATAAAACAAATATTACAACAGGACAAGAATGTGATCTTATTGATTTTACTGTCTAAAACAAACAACTTTCATTCAAACTGCTTCAAATGCAGCATGTTGTGCAAAAATCAGCAAACCATTTTGTGTGATTTGTTAATCAGAACTTTCTTAAAAAATTTTCATCAAAATTTTTCTCTTCTAGCAATATAAACTGTCTTTATAGATAAGTGTTACAATAGAGATGATGAACACAATCCTATCAAAGTATCAAACAGTATTTTAGAACAAAGATCAAACTTGCAGTAAAATATCCTCATTTCTACTTTAGTCTAGATCAAGTCAGGGCTTTTGGACCAAACAATTGTAAGATCCTTCTGAGGGTTTTAATGACTGTCAGTCCCACTATAGAGCAAGTATAATGTCCTACGCTGTCAGGGGAACACTGATTGTGCAACGCTCAGCTGCATCATTTATGCACGTGACCTCAACAACCACATTAACAGAGGACACAGTTGAAACTGGGAGTATGTGGTTTCATTTGTGAGTGCAGTTTCAAAAAGTTGCYACAAACAGTCAGACGGGAGGAGTTATAGAAGACTCATGATAGATCAATCTATTCTGTTCTGCATATATTAAAAAATCTGTCATGGCAGACAATAGCATCAGATAAGTAGCTTCTACTTTGCAAATGCAGTTTTAATTTTTTTTTTCTTCCAATTCCTACTTAACTCAGGAAGCCCTTATTCAGAAACACATGCTAAAAAAAGACCCAAACATACTAATAAACACTGCAAATGGCCACAGTGTAGGCAGTGCAAAAAGCAAAACAATAAAAAATTATTGGTTAGGACTGAACTACTCTCCTGCAGTTCAAAAATACCAGCTGTGTATTTCCTCCCCTCAAGCATCTCTCAACATTGCATCATGTTTTTACATAGATGCAAATGAATGTAAATTCCTTTAGGGCTTGACGTTCCACTCTGAGAAAGAACCTGTTTGCTATAGCACTAAAGATTTAAAGGTCATTGCACTGCACAGAAATATAACCTAACTAATCTAAACTGAGGAATCAAGTAGAAGCAGTGCACAGAGGGAACATTTKCTCAGGACATGATTAGAGAAATGTAATGTTTTAACAGTGTATTTTGCACATAAATCAACAACTTTGTAAACAGAAATGTAACGCCACAGCTTCAGAGTGCTGAATACTCCATCCAAAAATAACTGGTGGATGAAATGTGACCCACCCTTGGTCACTGAAGTGCCATTGGAGCATTTGTGTGTGTCACTCTAATAAAGAAATGATCCCTTCTCACATGTACGTCTGTAACGCTTCTTATGAAATCTTTAATTACAGATTTATTGAAGAACAACAGTGCAAAAGCAGTTGTTTCACCACTTGAATGCCACCCAACATCTTCTTCCTGTGGCTCTAGTGGTTTAAAATAGCTTCATCACCAAATCATAAGCCAACTTGGAAGCATTTGCTGACACTTAAAGTTTCATGCTTTTACAACACTTCAAACATTTCAAAACATCTACTTTATTATTGTTTGTGATACTGTCTGCTTTTTGTCAAACTATATTTGATCCTAACCTATGTTACATACAACACAAACTAATCAGAAATACTTTTAGACATTTAAATGATCTCTGCAGTAATTTGATAAATATATGTTAAAACATGTTTTCTTGAGGTAAACATACCTTTTCAAGTCGTTCCAAAGTCTCCACGGTGGATGGTTTAGCCTGTAAGACAAGTATTTTAAAGTTGTTTACAAGTGCTTTGTTTTGTAGGCAACATCTTGTTATAATTTTAATACTTCCCGTTTCTTCTTCCTACATATGTTTTATGTGGTATGTCTAAATCCTTTGTTGGCATATACTACTGATAAGGTGCCAAATACAAAAGGAAAACATGATGTTAATTTGAAAAATATTTATATAAATAAAAGGATTGTTTTCCCTTAAAGAGAATGTACCTGAGAACAACATTTTTGTGGTACGGTGCCACCAACTATGCAAAGACTTGGAAAAAATAAAATAAAATAAAATAAAAAATTAACACCTGAGTCCAGGTTGAATTTTATTACTTTGAAAATATTTAATTAGGGTTCTTGAAGGATTCCTACATCTCAAAAGTAGAACTATCCAGCCTCTAAAACTGCATAATTAAAGTTTTAAAAAGATTACAGTGAAAGTGGAAGTGAAAMTGAGGACTCAGTAAATTGTGTGCAGAAGAAAAATGTGTGACAAGTGCATGTTTTACTTTTTAAGTCCAGTTTGTCAAAAAGGGGTAGTAGTGAAAACAACTACTTAGCATGCAATATATCACAGATATATAGTTTGAATACAAACCCTCCATCTTGAGATTACAGCTCCCATATTGATGAAGTGGGAGTGGGATTTGTTGTCTTATTTGGATCTGTTCTCACTGTCTTTTACTGGTTTACAATCCACCTGTTGACAGCAGACATCAAGAGTAAACTTTCCAGTCTCAACGTTTAAGTTACACTGAAATACAATGTGATTTAGAACTGAAGTAAATGGTCTTCAAGAACAAAGTGATGCATACTTTCTTTAAAATATAAAAACAGCTGTAGAAATGTCAGTAACACTTGCTGTTATGCAACACGTTGTACTTCTAAAGAGAGTAAACAACCTAGCTGAAACATCAACACAAACAACTTACCAGCTCACTCACTCTTTTGATAGCTACAAGTGTTTATTCAATCGACAAGCATATGCAAACTCAGTTTTTTTCTAACTTGCTCAGTGTCCTGGGCTGCAGCAGCAGCTGAGTCTCTTTGCTAACCTAAATTAGCAGCTGTTTCCGGGGGGCGTTAGCAGCAGAAAGTCTTGAGCTAAAAGTGATGGTTCCAGCACACAGAAGGTCTGTCAAGTCGCCGTGCCCACCAAGCACTTCCTAGAACAACTTCCCAGCCCCTCAGACACATTCATAAACACTCGTAAAGCAATGCAGGCACTAGCTAACTACATGTAGCTGCTAGCTAGCTTTGTTGTTTATGACCGCAAGTCATGAAAACTAAACCAGGAGTTTTTTGCACAGTTTGTCAAAGCCAGGCTGAAACAAGGCTGGAGAGTTTATGTTCTGTGTTGGAATAAAGACGACTTTACCTTACCTTAATGTTGGAGTTGTAATGGTTTCCAGTCAGCTTCGTCCGTCCTATACTTTAACGCCACGGAGTCACGGAGGGGGGCGTGTCCACCGACGGAACAGCGTCCTTCTTGTTTATTTATCCCTCCCACCGCCAGCAGCAGGGCCACCAACACTGACATGACTCAAAATGTTTATATTCTGGTCAATTAATCATGCACAAACATAGCTCAACAACTACTTGAATGGTGGTTTAATTTAAAGTTACCTGTTCTTGCAAACTTTATGGAGTTTATCAAAGCTGACTGAATAATCCTTGTTCCAATTACACGCAGAATGTTGATATAATACCACAAAACAGAACATAGTTTACAAAAAGTATGACCCCACCCCCACCCCCAATAATCATCTCTACAATTAAAAGCAAAAATCTTAATAATTATATTTTTTCAAGTCAGTAGGCCCTGCTCAATTTTCAAAAGAGGATTGAAAGCAAGTTGAAACATTTTGAATAGCCCATTAACATGCAGTATTAGACACAATAATTTAATCATTCTTCATTTAAATGTAGCTCCAAAGAGCTTTACATGTCTTCTACAGCAGTGTTTCCCAAAGTTGGGGTCGGGACCCAAAGTGGGGTCCCGAAACATCAAGGTGGGGTCCTGAAAAGATTTTCTGAATTAATTACATTTTTGTCCTTAGTTGTTACAAATGAGTGAGGTTAGTATATTTAAAATGGATAAATGTAGAATAAAAATGTTGGGCCTCATGCAAGAA